GGATATGTTAATAGATAAGGCTTTGAGGCACAGACCTCAAACGGATGTTAATCTGATCAACAGCAGTTTTACTTCTCAATAAAAACCAAGCGTCGACCCGATTCGGTGGCTCAGTCTGACTCTCTGAAGGCTGAGTCCCTTGGTCTCGCACTTAAATCTTACTTCTGTCTCTTGTTCTTATTCAAATCTGCGTCGCCCCTCTCGTGTCCCATTTGCCCTTGCCACGCTGGATGTGACAGCATTGTGTGTTCACCATCCAGAGTCAGTTTTCCTTCCAACACCATATATTTGATCCCTCTTTTCCTCTTCTACCATCATCCCTCCCCTCTTACCCTCTGGTAACCACTAAACTGTTGTCTGTCTCTATGAGTTTCTTTATTTCTTTGTCTTGTTCCTTTGTTGCTTTCTGTTTTGTATCCCACATATCAGTGAAATCATATGGTTCTCAACTTTTTCGGTCTGTCTTATTTCACATACCATGATAATCTCAAGATCCATCCATGTTGTTGCAAATGGCAGTATTTCATCTTTTCTTATGGCCAAGTAAGTATTCCATTGTGTGTATCTATCACATCTTTATCCAGTCATCTATTGAAGGACACTTTGGTTGTTTCCATATCTTGGCCACTAAGAATAATACTGCAGTGAACATCAGGGTACATGCATCTTTATGGATAAATGTTTTCAGATTTTTTGGGTTGATACCCATAGAGGGATTGATAGGTCATATGGTAATTCTATTATTAATTTCTTGAGGAACCTCCGTACTGTTTTCCATAGTGGCTGTACCCATTTACATTCCCACCAACAGTGTATGAGGGTTCCTTTTTACCACAGCCTCTCCAACACTTGTTATTAAATGTCTTGTTGATGATAGCCTTCGAACAGGGATGAGGTGATGTTTCATTCTGGTTTTGATGTACATTTCCCTAATAGCTAGTAAAGTTGAGCATTTTTTCATATATCTGTTTGCTTTTTGTTCTTGGGAGAAGTGTCTGTTCAGGTCCTCTACCCATTTTTTTTAAAAAAGATTTTATTGGGGCATTGGGGGAGGGGAACAGCGTGGGGAGTCGGGGGAAGGGGAACAGACAAGTTGCTGTCGTTTTGTTCTTCAATCTAGTTGTGGAGGATGTTGTTGCTTCACTGGTCCATGTTGGTATTGTGATCATTGTGCTCTTCCCAACTGAGGCAGATCGGTCGCCGGTCTCTGGATGGCCACTCACGGCGGCTCTTGGCAGCTCACGCTGGCTGCCGGCCACTCACAGTAGCTTTATAGCAGCCTACTGCAGCAGGGGCTGCAGCCCACGCCATCGCTGGCGACTCACAGCAGCCCAGCTCCAGGTTGAGCTGTTGTTCACCATCTTACCTGTAGAGGGCAGTGTCACTGGCCCTCATGTGGGATCTGAACCGGGGCCCTGCTGCTCAGAGCTGGCGACCCAAGCCAGCTCTTAATCAACGCGCCACTCGGCCGGCCCCTCTACCCATTTCTTAATTGGTTTTTGTTGTTGTTGAGTTCTAGGAGCTCTTTATATATTGGGTTGTCGGAGAAGTCATGACGCATTTTTGCAATGAAAAACATAGAAAAAATATGTCATGACTTTTCCGACAACCCAATATTTTGGATATCAGCCCCTTATCGGAGACGTTATTTGCAAGTATCTTCTCCCATTTGGTTGGTTGCCTCTTTGTTGATGGTTTCTTTTAATGTGCAGAAGCTTTGTAGTTTGATATAGTCCCATTCATTTATCTCTACTTTTACTTCCCTTGCCTTTGAGGTCAAATTCATAAAATTTTCTCTCAACCCAAGGTCCACAAGTTTAGTATTTATGCTTTCTTCTTTGCAATTTATTGTTTTTAGGTCTGATGTTTTGGTCTTTGATCCATTATGAGTTAATTTTGGTATATGGTGAAAGCAGTCTAGTTTCATTCTTTTGGAAAGCACATGGCTTTTCAGTTTTCCCAGCACCGTTTATTGAAGAGGCTTCCTTTTCTCCACTGTATGTTTTTGGCTCCTTCGTCAGAAATTATCTGTCCATATATATGTGGGTTTGTTTCTGAGTTTTCTAGTCTATTCCATTAGCTTGTGTGTCTGTTTTTCTACCAAACTCGTGCTGTTTTGATTATTGTTGCTTTGTAATACAAATTGAAGTCAGGGAGTGTGATACCTCCAGCCTTCTTTTTTCTTAGGATTGCTTTGGCTGTGTATTCACGGTCTGTTGTGATTCTGATGATGTTTTGTTCTATTTCTTGAAAAAACTGCCATTGGGATTTTGATGGGGATTGCATTAAATCTGTATATTGCTTTGGGTAATATGGCCATTTTAACTATGTTGATTTTTCCTATCCCTCAACACAGAATATCTTTCTGTTTCTTTGTGTCTTCTTCAATTTCATTTAAAAATGTCTTATACTTTTCAGTGTACAGATCCTTCACATCCTTTTAAGTTTATTCTTAGGTATTTTATTCTTTTTGTTACAATTGTAGAAGGAATTGTTTTTTTTCATTTCTTTTTCTGAAAGTTCGTTGCTAGTGTATAGGAATGCAATGAATTTTTGTACATTGATTTTGTATCCAGCAACTTTACTGTATTAATTTATTGTTCCTAATAGTTTTTTGGTGGACTCTTTAGGGTTTTCTATATCAAGAATCATGTCATTTGCTGAAAGTGACAGTTTAGGGGCCAGATGAATTGCTCAGTTGGTTAAGAGTGCGAGCTCTGAGCAACAGGGTGACTGGTTCAATTCCCACATGGGCCAATGAG